ATAATAATAATAATAAAAACATTTACATACAAAATAAAATTTTCTTATTTTATTTTATTCATAAATAATTCTTGTTGATGGTGATTGATAAGATGTTCTATAATTTCGTCGATGATACGAAGGTTCATCATCATAGATGTATTCAATTTGATTACCATTATCATCAACATAAACAATTTCTTCTTCATATTCTAATGGTTGATTATTATTCATATAAACAACTTCAGAACGATGAGGACGACGACGATTACGAACAATAGTTGATGGTGATTCATCAACATAAACATATTGAGTTGCAGGTGGTGGTGGTGGTGGTGGTGGTCTTCGAAGAATTGTTCTTCGACGTGTCGGTTGTTCATAAATAATACGTTTTGGTTCCGATTCAATATAATATCGATTATCAAATTCACGATATGGAGGTTCATGTACAACTCGAACTACTTGTTCTGATCTTGTTCTATCACGTGGATTATCCTAAGTTGTATAACAATAAAATGAATTCATATGAAGAAGAAGAATAAAGAAAAATATTAAGGCTTCACTAATACAAAGAAAAAAAAACCCAAGCAAACCTCATCTGTCATTTTCAATTGTATGGTTACATTTTTCTTGTTAGTCGTATCTGGTTGAATAATAAACGTCGGATTGTTTTCCTCAGTTTTATTCTCAGTTTTTACTGGTACTGTCGGGGCCGATGAAGATGATGATGATTGACTTATAATAGTTTGCTGATGTGGTGGTGGCGCCGACGATGGAGGATTAGGATAAAATAAAGGTTGAGACATATATGCTGGATTTGATGAAGGTGGAAGAAAAAAATTTTGTCCCAGAGGTTGTGTAGGAACTGTTGTAATAGGTAAAAACATGGGAAATGTAGGAGGATATGAAGAAATTGGTGGAGGTGGTAAAACCATAGTTGAAGTGGGAGGATACGAAGGAGTAGCTGAAGAAGGTAAAACCATAAAGGGAGCAGGAGGAGGCGGAGGAGCTGAAGAAGGTAAAACCATAAAGGGAGGAGGAGGTGGCGGAGGAGCTGAAGAAGATAAAAATATAACGGGAGGAGGAGAAGAATAGGAAGGAGCTGTGGATACATTTGGAATAATTGTAGGAGTATCGGGATGATGAGTTTCTCTCGAATGAATAATTACAGTAGGAGCTGTCCGATTTTTTGGTGGATCAACAGGTGGTAAAGAATTAATATATGAAATAGTTGGTATATCACTCACCGTTTGATAGTCAGTATAAGCATAAGCAGGTGAATCTTTTCGACGATGTATTGCATATTCATCATTGACTATACGCATCCGTCGTGATTTATCTAAAGCATCTCGAGGTAAAGGATCAGCAAGAGGTGCAATTTTTTTTTGATAATTAACAGGAGCAGAAGCAGGAGAAGAAGAAGGATAATAATACGTATTATTATTGTTATTAGCAAAGCGTACGGGTTTTCGTTCAACATTTCCTTGATTCATAAATAAATTAGATTGTTTCATCATAGGTCGAGTGCCACTATTTTTATGCATTTTTTTAGCTGGCTTTTGTTCAATAGGTGTCGTTGAATTTATAATGGTTGATTTTTTGACTGGCTGTTGTCGAGAACCATTTTGTGTTTGATTGAGTTTTGGCCCTTTAAAATTTGTTACATTACGTTTTGTTGGCAATGTAAATGTATCCGAACGTGTTGATTGTTTGACAACGGCTGCTGGTCGTCGTGGTGGTAATTTGTTACCTGCTGTTGCTTTCGAATTTGAGAATAAACCATTCTGATTATTGGTTCGTCGATTCTCTTGAAACTGCCCGTGATAACTTTGTGACATATAAAGTTTTTCTTTCTTTTTTTCGTTTTCTTCTATTCTTTCTTTCTCTCTCTCTCTCTCTCTCACTCACTCTTTTGATTGTATTAAAATATTCTGATTAGCTACTATTATAGTAATGTTTTTTTCTTTTTTTTTTTTTCAAATTGCTCAATGTTACTATTTGACTGTTGCTGTTAGTTGTAAGAAAAAGAAAACAAATATATTTACATTCTTCTCGTTCTCATTCTCATTTTTTTTTCTTGTTCTTCTTTCTTTTCTTTTTTTTTTTGAAATAAAAGAATAAAATAAAGTTTACCTTATATGTAAGAGAATAAATTTGTGGTCGTACAATAGGTTTCCGTTGTTGAATTGGAATAAGATCTTTATAATAACTAAAACCACTTGATATTGGCATTGATATCAACAAGTAATAATTGTTTGATAGAATACAAATCTAATTGTTTAAATTATAGATTATGTCGTTTTTTGTAATGTCTACCAAAAAAACGTTAGTTCTTCCTATTATCCTAAGATAATAAAATATGTAATTCACAAAGGATAACTTCGAATTAATAAATTGCTTACGAGTTGAGACTATATAGAACCAAATAAGCTATAAATATCCTGAAAAGAATTCATGTCCTCTTAGATTATTTCTGCTGAGATACTATACCTTTTTTTTAAATGAGTACTATGGTAACGGAAAAACTGATTTTCGAATTTTGACTGGGAACTTTAGAACGTGTCTTTTACATCGTTCATATAAACTGATAGATTTGATATTCTTATATAAGGATAGTAGAAATTCGAAAATCAGCTTTTCTGTTACTGTAACAGTGTGGCATCTTTACAGCAATAAGCTAAGTGTACGAACGTTTTTCAAGGTATTCATAGCTTCTATGAGTCTACATAATACATATAGTCTCGACTCAAAAGCGATTAATCAGTCGGTGGACTTTCCTAATCGGTTAAGATCGAATCTGAACTCGAAAATTTTGATTTATTAAGAATTCATATTTAACTACTATATGTTTACAATACTTTCATATGTCAGCAAGGTGAAAAAAAAAAGTAGGTTTATTTCAAGCTCTTCTTTTTTATTTTCAAATACTGCAAGCAAAATCAAACAAACATAATGCCTTATACCGACATACATTCATAAACAACTATTGCGCTGAATTTTTGATTAATCGTAACAAAAAAAAAAGTGAAGTCTGACGAATGAATTTTCTATTGATCAGTTGTAAATGAAGAAATATATTTTTTAAGATAGACTTTCTTATTCTTTGATAAATATAAATATTCATCTCGTTTGACGATATTGAAATGAGTTTAATTCTTTAATTAATCAGCGATATACAATAGAGAAAATAAAAAATGATCGACTTCAATCTAATGAATAAAATTTATTATGTCTATGCTCGAACTGAATTCTTTAAGACTTATAAATATTTTATAGAAAGAAAAAATATATATATAAAATGAATAATTAAAAATATTTGAATCGATCTCCTTATTCTCATTTGATGTTTGATTTCTATTGCAAAGAAAAACACGATCGTCTCTATATAAAAACAAAACAAAAAAAAAAGAAAAATCTTCTTTTTTACTTAAGTATATTTTAGCTAAATGTAGACAACGACATATATCCAATTTCAAAAGATTAATTTTCAATCTCTTTTAACTTTTTGAAAATTATTTTTTGCTGCTATGAAAATTTTTCTTGTTGATATCATAATGCTCTTGATTACATCGACAAACAATTTATTTAGCACTTAGTAATCGAACACTTGGCTGCTGTTGTTGTTGTTTATTATTGTATCGTAACACTTGAAAATCTTCTTTTTTTTTTTCCTTTTCTCTCAACAATATGAATTTTTAATGGCTGACTTTCACATTTATTTTATTAGTATTGATGTTTAAACAGATGAAGAAAAAGAAAAGGTATTTAAGATAAGGGTATAAAGAAAAAATAAGTCTAATATAAATTTCGTCATTAGATTCTTATTCATCTTCTTTGCCACGTTTAATCTGTCGGGTAAATTCGGCATAATCAAGATTGCCTTTAGGATCCATTGGGGCACCATCAAGCATTTGACTGAACTAAAATTGTAAAAAAAAAAATATTAATTCAAATAAATAAGAAAATTAATTCATACCTCCATATCGGTCAATCCTTTTGAATGAAAACAAAAAAAAAATAAGCAGTTAATATTTATTAAATATCTTTTTCTTTTTTTGTTGAAATTAAATACTTACGATCTTCAGGACGTCCTTCGCCTATAAGAATTTCTCGTAAACTAAAATATAATATAGAAAAAAAAATTTTTGATTATAAATCTTTTTTTTTGTTTTTGTTTTTGTATTTATTGAATTACTGTTTTTGATTTATTTGTCCAGTTCCTTCTACATCAAAATTTTTCCAAGCATTTAATATAACCATTTCTTCATCTGTACCATTTAATCGATCTCCATATAAAGTTAATAATGTAGTAAAATTAACTGGACCTTGAGCTTCTTCAAGCATAGCTTTTAATTCGGCATCTTTTGGTGCTTTGCCAAGTGAAGCATATACTTCTTTTAAATCATCCATACTAACAGTACCATCACGATCTTGATCCATAAGATTAAATGCCTAATAGAAAAAAAAGAACATTTTTCTTTATAGACAAAGATAAATAGGTTTTTTTTTTGTTATAAATACTTCTTTAAATTCTTGTACTTGTTTTTGATCAAACATTGAAAAAACATTACTTGTGGCACGTTGAGCCTTCTTTTTCATTTTTTTCTATTAAATAAAAAATAAATATTTTATGTATTTGTTTTTGTTTAATAAAAATATCAACTTATAAATTTTATTCTCTGTGCAAAATATGAAATTATATATGTATTCATTAATGATCGAAATTCGTCATGCGAAGTGAAGTGAAAAAATTCTTTTATAAAAAAAAATTATATAGAAGGAAGATGATTTAGGTATACACAAGATGATAAGAACTTACTTCTTCTTTCTAGAGTATGGCATCTGTTTTATGAATTATTTTATTTATTTTCAATTTAGAATGATTAGGAAATAAAACGTTTAGTTTTTATTTTGTCTTCTTTCAATATCATTACTTACGTCTGTCATTGTTGAATTTGGATAAGTGTAATGAAGATGACCGTGTGTGTACTGTGTACAAGTAGCTTACCACAATAGATGATTGCAGGCAAAAGAGCACCCGATTTTATCTTCCTTTCTCTCTCTCCTCGACGATGTTTTTGTTATTGATGATGTTGCTACAACGAGAATTGCCTATTTTGGTGCTATATTACACAAGCGTAGGAAGATGATGAAGAAGAGAAAAAAAAAAAGGATAACCACTACGGATATTAGGGCAGTTTTTTTTGCTTCTTCTCCGCTTACTTAACCATTAGTATATAGAGTTAGGTATATATATCTCTTTCCTGAAGAATAACGCGGGCACAGTGTAAACCAAAACGATCTCATATTTCTTTCTCTCCTATATGTATAAGCAAACATAGAACAAGATCTAATCTGGTAGTGATGAAAAAGCTTTCTTCTCTCTCTCTCTCTCTCTCTTTCTCTTGTGGATATACTATTCGAGGCAAACAACTTGCTAGTGTATATCATTGGTCTTAAAACTGAGAAGCAAAAGAAGAAAAAAAGAACGAAAGATATCTCAAAACATATAATATAGTTAGTAGGATAAAATAACGAAGATTTTCTTTCTTTCTTTTCTTGTTATATATATATATATATCTTCATTGTGCTAGAAATTAAATCCAAGGCTAATTATATATATAAGACGAATAAATAGAACAAATAACAAGTCTATATCAGAATTATTTGCAATGAAAAATTTTCTATCATATTCGGATAATATTGTTTTTTTTTTGTTTTTATTTTTAACAAAAAGAAATACAAACAAAAAAACATATCTATTATGACATAAATCAAATAGAACAAATAAGCCATGTATTTGACTAGAACAAAGATTATACACAGCATGAAAATAATTATAAATCATCCGATGATCTTTGTCGTAATTTTGTTAAAATAATATGTATATTATTTAACATATCCATATATATTGAATCATTGTCGAAATTATTTTTTATATAAATCTTATGAAATTTATCTAATGTTGGTATTAGATGAATAAAATCTCGATGACATATATCAATAAATGGTATCATTGCATGTATTATTTTTTCAATATGGTCGAAATTATCTGTATCGAACAATGTTAATCGAGTGGAAATACGGGCACACCAACCATAATCGACTAGTTGATTGAGTATATGAATGCTAGATATAAACAATAGAATATCGATTATTAAACAAGAAAACATTTTTTCTATTAACAGAAGTATTTGTCATTATATCTGATCTATGAAAAGTCAATATGGGACTTATATACATTGATAAAACCTGTAGGAAAGTTAGATTTATGAGTATATTATAATGGCAAATCATGTGGATTTATATAATATCGTAGCATGATCTTCACTGTTTTGCTTTCGTATAGTGCACAAATTATTGAAGATTTCTTTTTGTGTTTTTTCAAAAATCTGTTTTGAGAAAAAAAAAACCCAGTTTATACAATTTTTTATCCTCGTTGTATTTTGATTGAAAATGTCAAGTTGTAGCTGTAAGTCTTTCTTTATCAGTTAAAGTATAGTTATATCAGACAAATAGGATGAAAATAGCGTAGACATTTTAATATGTTTCTTTTGAATTACCAACCAATCATTCGTGTAATAGCCGGTTCTCTATCAGATTAAAGACAAAATAACTCGAGAGTTCTAAAATAGCTTTAGTATATTGTTATTATAGATCGATGACAACAGGATTATTCTGTCAAGACTTATGATTTGTAATTAATATTTGTACGAAAGATAATTAACTTACTCCTTATATACTTCTTGTTTATTATCCATGACCTGTTCCTATAATAATAATAATAAAATAATAATAATAAAAAAAAATCTTTCAAATATTACTTTTTCAATAATTAAATCATTCATAAGTGTAAGAGCTCGTACTACTATTTTATTATTAGTTTGATTAAGAATTTTAACCATTAATTCTGCTCCACCATGTTTAAGAAAATTTTTCTGAGCTTGTGGAAAACTTCTTAATAATGTTGATAATGTAAAAAGAAGACGTAGAATAATATTATCATCTGTTTCTGTATTTAATAAATGTAGAAAATATTGAATATAACCACGTTGTAATGCCTTTAATTGAACTTTAGGATTTCTAAAAGAAAACAAGCAAAAAAAACATGATAGTGCTGCAATCTCTTCGAGATATTAAAATATGAAATACAATGTAACTGCTGTTACTAATCAGAAAAAGTTTGTTTTAATCTATTTATTTTAGGACACAAATTTACTCATTCTTCAAGAAATGCAATAAGGAATTAGGAACGAGACTCTATTGATAGACTGTTTGTGATAACTTTCAACTTAGATTTACCCTTGAAAAGCTGCACCTAATACAAGATTGACTAAACTACGAATTTCAGCATTTGTATTTGTTGAATTAAGTAAATCAATAAGTAAATCAAGACCATTCAGATCAGAAAATAGTATTGCATTATCATACTAAAAATGATTAAAATTCGATGAAAAACAGAAACAAAAAAAAATTAAGCTTAAATTGATTCTAACTTGATGAAGATAATATTCGAGATCTGTAAGAATTGTTTTTCTATTATCATTATTATCAGTTTTATTTAATTGATCAATAAGATTAATTAAAATTTCTTGATCTGTTTGAATTTTCATATTTATTGATTCGAAATCTTTTTTTAATTCTTCATATGATCGAAATTGTTTACGTATTTCTTCTTCATGTGTCTAATTCATGAGAAATTGATGAGATAATATATATTTATTTTAAAATACTTACTTTATCAGTTTTAACATCATCTTTACTTAAATCAAGATTTGCAAATGCCTGTTCAAGACTATGTCGACTTATTTCTTCTTGAGTTGTTTCTTAAAGATAAAAAAGAAAATGAATTTTTTCTTGCACTTTTCAATTAATTGATTACTCACCGGTTGGAACGGGAATGATACTATTGGATGATGATTGTTGTTCATTATTATCAATAAGTTTAGCTTCTCGAAGGCCAGTTTCGAGATTTAATCGAATATGAAGACCAGGTGGAATTTTTTGTCCTAATGAATAGATAAAAAATTCATTTTTTATTTATAGATTTTTTTAAAAAAAAATACCTTCTTTGACTATTTGCCATTCGTTTGTTGGTACGAATTCTTCAGTATTTTCTGAATCTAATGAAAAAAAAATTTATAAGAAAAATGAGACTAATTATATAAGACTTACTTTCAGATTGTTGAGCTACTGTTGAAAAACTAAGAATTAAAAAATAAATAAAGAATAATTTTTTCATGTTCTTTGAAAGAAAAAATCAAAGACAGGTCAGTAATGAATTTAATAGATGATTCATATACGATTAAAATGACGCGTACCAATAGTTTTTGATGGCCAATAGAGTGCAGTATATTGTAAATCATAAATTTTACTATCATTCGAATAAGTAAATGATGTTTGATTAACATAATTTGTATTCGAGTTTTGGATCTATTCATTTTCGGAGTCTAGCCAACATTTAAAATATGTGAAACTTTTTTCGACCGAGTAAGAAGAAAGCAAAATCCATTGATTATTTCATAAATACTCGCTAAATTCCCTATTCAAGTTTGACGGAAGTAGGTGAGCGCAAGGCATGATGATAACATCCTGGACACTAACTAAAATGAATCTTTTCAAGGTTTCTAGACAGAAAGCGGTTCAATTTATATTTTTCAAACTGAGAAATGAATGTGTCTAATGCGTATGCACAAATGTTCCTCTCAATCAAGGAGAGGACTTACCACGAACAAGAATTCCAGCCAAAAATCTGAAACATCTATAACATGGAGAAACTTTACAGGTATTCGACAAAAAGGTCTTTAAGAATCTTGTTTTTACTTAAAACAGTGTTTTTAGTCTAAAAAATATTTTAAAGTTAAAGTATTGCTTTACGAAAGATCTTAAAAAGACTTTATCGATTGTTTCGGTACTCATCCCAGACTCAGATGTAACACACACTATTCATATGTAAAAGTTCTATATCAGCTCAGAACTCGATCATTGCCATGAAGCTCTAGAGAAACAAACAAACTTTTTCGGACAGTCATTTCAACAAACTTATCTATAATAGTAGATTTTCTCCAAGAATCTCATCCTTTCAGAAGATTTTTCAAAACTAACTCGTGGAATATTACGTCTCCTTATAAGTAATTCGTTATATGCTTAATCCTTTCAAGCAAGTCTCACTACTGAATCTAAAAAACATGTACAAACAAAGCTAATGAAAACCTAATGCAAGGATCCAAGAATACGATACTCGCACAACAAACTATTCACGATACACAAGGGAAAACAAGTCCTTGAATTATGAATGGGTAGTATGGTTAGCTTTGTTTCTTCCACAGTCACCTACCTACATTCACATTAATACCGACAATGACAATTACATTCTACCTTGAAGGTAAACAATCACTAAAATGATTTAGAATCAAGCAATTATGATAACAGCAATACTAATCTGCAATAAACCTGTAACAATAAAATAGGAAGTCACAAGATGTTTTCTCCATTCATCTTTAACAACCGACAATAATCAAACGATAGCTAAAGCAAAGACAACGGTCAATAAAGCAATCAAATAACGAATGGGCCTTTTTTCTCGGCTACGAATTTCTATCGAAAGACAGCCAGAAGCACAAAAGACTACATTATCAGATCCGTCCCCTGAAACAGAAAGTGAGTACTATTAGTGATAGGGCGATTTTAATTGCTAAACTGAAACACGCATTGAAATAAAACTAAAAGCAAAGTAAAACTGATACAAAGTTAAGCTAATTGATTCTGATTGTGTATGCATGGATATTTTGAACTTTCCATCGAAGATAATATCTTGACTAGATCTAGAATCTTCACCTGTAGCTAATAATTCTTCTTATTTTCAGTCATTTTTGATTATTCAAAAACATATTTCTCTGATATTTGATCGTATTCACATAAAATGTGATTAAGGTGATCGAGTTGATTTATTAAAATTGTCAATTCGGAGTCAGTCCCTAGTAATTCTAATTGATCCCGATGATCATAGTTTTTATGAAGTTAATCGTAAGAAATTATCGTATGAAACATCATCGAATCTGGCAAAGGGTAAGGACAGTAATCGAGAGCTATGTTCGAATGACGAATACATGTGATTGAAATTCATTTTTTCAATTCAATACTGGAGATCATTAAATTAAAACGGTAATTCAGTTAGTTCGTACTTTTTATGACATAGAATACAAGTATTCGTGAATATGCTTTACGATCTGTATCTTTCAAGTGGTTCGTAAACACTTTTTTTCGTAGTGAAGATTGATTCCGAATATTTTTCAGCACATATATATTTTCCTAGTCACGAATCGATCCTGAATATTGAAGAAAGCATTTGAAGACATCACTATATTTTGCTCGAAGTATTTATCAGAAATGGAAAGAAACTATTTAAAATACCTTTTTACGATAGGGTGAATGTTTCTTCATCTTTTTATCAATACGCATACATTCAAATCAGTATAAATATCAAGTAAGTGACTACAAAATGAGAACTCACTTTTTTTATATTACGATCGTTTCTTGACAAAGAAAACTGAATATATGTGAGAATAACTCCATGTCATCGAAGACCAATCGAGCTTCACAACCTCTGATCATTTTAAGCTTTTTTGCAGATGCAGCAATTCTATGAATGCAGACAAGAATACACCTTATGAATTCGAAAAGCTTCAGTTAATAGAGAAGAATCATTTGCTAGTGTATGGATATCATGTATCAGCTAGTAAACCGTGATTTCAGAGTAATCTCATTTTACAGTTAAGAGATTCCATAAGCAAAGATATTTTCAGATCTATGCGAATGAACTAACACTAGTCAAGCTTTTACAGCAGAAACTATTTAAGTTTAAGATCTTTACTATTTATATAGCGGTAATCCATTTTATTTCATTTGCTGGAAGTTTAACGCCCAACGGTTTAAATAGAAATTTTTCCAATTTCGGTTATAGCAATCAACATAATACATGCAAGTTCTTCGAACGATAGTGTGTATCACTATCCGAAGAAAACTGCAAAATGTATAGCCATACTGAATTGAAACAAATTTCCATATTTTTCGATTTGAACTACGGAAGAAAAAAATTATTTGAGTTGATAATTAAATAGTACCATCATTGGTTGTGTATCTCATCACCGAAACAAACATTATTGAAAAAAAAAATTGTCGAAATGAATATTATAGAAATAGAGATCATCAATCTAAACATCTGAATTTCTTATAAATAAACTTTTTGCTAATCTTTGATTCGACGATGTAGCTTTCAACAAAAAGCATACTTACTCAAAAAACAAAATAGCTTTTGTAGAATTTTTCTCAAAATACTTACACCAGCGAATATAATAACTGCTTAATTGACAATCAGTTTGAAAATCAGAAATACTCAAGTGTTTAAGAGAAAAAGCAAGCAAAAGGCTATAGAAAATAAGCTGGACATTTGAAAGTGTTTGAATTTTAAACAGTTTTTAATTAAAATTGAACAATCTAGATAGTAGTTTTCACAAATTATAACTCAAAAAACTATCACCGGCAGTATGTTTTAATATGTCTACTTTGCTAATTTTATACTCATCAAAAAACTATTCATTTTCATGTTGTAGATAGTGCTAACACATTTACTTTACTTTTTATTTAAGTAATTACAGTAAAGTGACTACAATAATAATGTAGTTACTATGCGATAAATTGTAACTGAAATAATTACATAGTTACTAATTAAGTAAAAGTGAAGTGTCATTTGTGTTTGTAAATCGAGAATTTCATTCGAGTTATCAAGAGTTTGAACTTAAATGAAATTTTTTTCTAATCAACTTATACATAGATGCTTATATCTCATCAAAAAAAGCAGAGTTAATGATTTTATATTTTTCAGATTCTTTATCTGGTTCAAAATTCGAAAAATAGTGACAGTTCGAAAATATAGGAAAAAGAAAACTTATATTAGACTAAATTGATACATTGGTTATTGTTTAAACCTTGTGGAGTATTTTTTTTATTGAAAACAAATTATCGGCGGCGGAATTTGTCACTATTATTATTTCAAACCAGCTCCATAACTTTTGAGCATAGAAAGAACGAAAAGTCGATTGCCTGTCCATCGTATAAAACTGAACAAATGATTCTAGTCCGCAAATGAAATGTTTTTTTTTTACTTAATATAATCAGTAGGCATAAAATGAAGTGGAAGAAATAGTTGCATCTGTTTTAAACAATCTTATTCAGCTATTGGTAAACCACTCTTTTTTAACATAACTAGAAAACTACTTCTAAATCGAATCTTATGTAATACTTTTATTGTTAGACTATTTTTGCGTGTAGCAGGGGCATAATATATGGGAACCATCCAAACAGTTGAATGAAAATGATATCTGTTTTATTGAAAAATAATATTGATTCGATGCTGCGTGTATCTTTCAAACGATGTTATCGTACATCTTCATAATTACAAGTATCTGAAGTGATACTTTTTTCATTTTGTAAATGATTCGCTCAAGATAAAAGCTGGGTTGGGCCAACTAATTATCATGAGTTCGTTGAGAAGTGAACCATCAGGCCGCCAAAATATTCATTTAACTATATCCATGATCGAAGTATGAATCGAAAAAATGAAAGTTAAGACATGATCTTATCGAGAGAACTATATTTAGTTTTATTTTTTCAAGAAAAGAAAACAGAATTGCCCAACTAGTATATGAATTATTTAGTTGCAAAAATAAATACTATTCTGTGACGCTCTTAGCCAGGTTGATTCAATATTTTTATCTGCTCTTGTTTCTTGCTTGAACGGACTCATCATACTTAATGTTCTAACCTTTCCTTGACATGTCTTATCATCATGTATTTTGTTTTTTCTTCTTTCATAATTATGTATACTGTTAATTAGTAGTCCATCGCCTGTTGTTACCGTTCTGATACATTTTATCCTTCTTCATAATGACTTTTCCTGTTATCCTTATATTCCTCCTCTAGTTCTCCCTTTCTCTTGTTTCTCTCCTCTAATTAAGTATATAAACCGATGTTTTGCATGTAAACGATGCGAATTTTTGATAAGTAGAAGCTAAATAAAGCATAATTCCATCCACACTAACACTTTTCCTATCTAGAATCACCAACACATTCAACTCTGAGTTGTCAATGAATATATTTCAGGTCGAAGACGAGAATCCTGTCGTTTGGATTGGGCAGAATCGTCATGGACACGATGGATATATGTAGTCATTTGGTGGTGGATTAAACCTATACTTTCATTAGGAAACCAGCGCACACTTATCGACAATGATTTGAGCGATATTTCTAATAAGGATAAGTGTTCCGTCTTGTTGAATAGAGCAAGTTACGATAGTAATAAATGGCCGGGTACATGGTATGTAATCAGGCGAGTATTTATGAGAGATTTCTTGCTAACTACATGGATCATGTTAGCATATGGCGTGACTCGTATTGCGCAACCTCTGATTATTCGTGAAATCATTCTCTACATTAGTGATACATCAAGATTACAAACTTACGTTGGCTATTTATTTGCCGTAAGCCTTGTTATTTGTTCCATTCTACAAAATATTTTTCATCCGCAAACCTATTTTCGAAATCAAAGAATTGGCATGCGTCTTCGCAACACACTAAGCTGCAGTATCTATAAACATTTGTTGATGATCAATACAGTATCTCTTTATAAGACGACTGCTGCTCAGGTGATCAATTTAGTTGCAAATGATGCGACTAAATTTGAAGAAATGGCTACTTACTGTCAGTATTTATGGTTCGCACCACTCGAAGCTCTCATAATGTTTGGTCTTATCTGATGGATTATTGGTTTACCAACATTGTTTGGCTATGCCATACTGATTCTATTAGTACCAGTTCAGTTCATGTTCAGTAAATTATTCAGTCGATATCGAAGGACAACAATGGCATGTACGGACAAGCGTGTTCAGACAATCAATGAGATTATTAACGGATGTCAAATTATTAAAATGTACAGATGGGAACAGGCTATGGAAAAATTGGTACGTGATATACGACAATCTGAACTTCAGAGTATCTTTAGAGCTAGCTGTTTGCGTGCTCTTAATTTTGGAATCTCCTTTGGATCGTTACCATTGATTTCTCTATTTACTTTTGGTGGCAGTTGGCTCCTCGGCAAACAATTAATAGCAGCGAATATTTTTACGACATTGTCCTTTTTTGCACTGCTTCAGACGCAAACAGTGAGTGTCTTACCATTGAGTATTGAAAAGTTCAGTGAAGCACGTGTTGCTGCAGCAAGAATCGATCAATTTATGAAATTTCAAATACTGCAGAATAGACGAAAAAACGAAGAGAACGAAAAGGGTGAATATGCGATTATAATGGAAGGTGCATCATTTTCTTGGAAAGATAATTCTTGTCTATTTGATCTTCATCTCAAAGTTCAATATGGTACATTGGTTGGAGTGAAAGGTGCCATTGCTGCCGGTAAATCATCTTTACTAGCTGCCATTCTTGGTGAGATCAATCTTGTCAATGGAACAATACGACAATATGTTCGCTCTGTTTCGTACGCTCCACAGTTACCTTGGATATTTGCTGATACTATACGAAATAATATTCTACTTGGCAAAGTAATGGATGAAGAGCGTTACAAGAATGTGATAAAAGCATGTTGTCTTGATGTTGATTTACAAAATTTTGGTAAAGTCGCTGATTTGATGATGATCGGTGACAAAGGTGTCAATCTGAGTGGAGGACAAAAAGCTCGAATATCGTTGGCTCGAGCTCTTTACACTGATGCAGATTTGTATTTACTCGATGATCCACTAGCAGCTGTTGATTCAAACGTAGCAAAGAAGATATTTGATCAATGCATTGGTCCACGTAGTCTCCTTCGTGAAAAAACTAGAATATTGGTTACACATCAGATACATTTCTTAGATGAAGCAGATCAAACAATTTTGTTAACAAATGGTCGTATCGATGAATTCTATAGTGAACAACCTGCTGACGGCGAGCAATCGAACACAACAACAGAAATGAATTCATCTGATGACGATAAGTTCAACTTTAAACTCAAGACTGCTACAACTGATATGAATTCGATTGTGAAAACCGAAACATCAACTGATGGTGCTGTCAATTGGAACGTTTGGTTTCAACTATTTACCGCTCCACCCTTACATTGGCTCGGATTTTTTCTAAGCCTTATTTTAATTTTCACTGCAGAAGCTATGGATGACTTTTCAAACCGTTGGCTTTCTTTGTGGTCTGCGAAATCCGAAAAAAACCAAAGTTCATCATTCGATGCTTATGTCTATCTTGGATTGACACTGGGTACATTGATCGCTGCATTAGTACGTGCTGGTTTTCTATTCTATATTATGTTATGTGGTTCGACTTATTTTCACAATCAAATGCTGACCGGTATCTTGTATACTTCGCTACGTTTCTTCGAAAGTAATCCTAGTGGACGAATATTGAATAGAGTAAGCAAAGATCAACAAGCCATAGATGAATTATTACCTCTGACTTTAGTCGATTCTATCCAATATCTAGTGTTGACTATCGGTTCTGTTGTCATAATCGGAACTATTAATCCATGGGTACTTCTGATTCTTGTTACATTGACTCCTATATTTTGGTGGCTCCGTCGATTCTACATTCGTTCGAGTCGTCAACTCAAACGACTGGAAAGTGTAACACGTAGTCCGATCTATGCATTATTCTCATCATCATTAGACGGACTCACTAGCATTCGTGCATTTCAAGTTCAAGATGATTTCATGAACATGTTTATGGAAAGAATTGATACGAATTCTCGGGCTTACTTCGCTCTCCTTGCTGCTGCTCGTTGGTTTAGCTTTCAACTCAGTAATATGGTATCCTTACTCATACTAGTAACAGCTATCCTTGCAGTAGCTTTGCGTCATCAAATTAATTCATCAGCAGCTGCTCTCACCATTACCTACTGCATCACTATAGTGGATCTCTTTCAATGGGCTGTACGACAATCTGCAGAAGCTGAAAATTATATGACCAGTGCCGAACGTATTCATGAATATGGTCAACTTGTGCCGGAAAATCATAAAAATAATAGTACATGTTCAGTACTCGTTCAACTGCCAAATGATTGGCCTTCTCAGGGTATTATTGAATTCAAAGACTATACGTTTCGCTATCGACCAGAGCTGGATCCTGTATTGAAAAATCTTAATCTACGCATTGAATCTAAGGAAAAGATTGGAGTCATCGGTCGAACAGGTATGATCAATTAGATTTTCTGTTGCTGACAGGTGTCCATTTACTTGTAACTATTCGATATACTTTACTAAGACCTGATACTAGTGTGAGAAAGAAAACATAACGGTAACTTTACTGTGCTTTCGCCATGCGTTCTTTTTTAGCACTCTCATGAAATTCATAAATGAATATCAGCTAATCACATTATCTAGAAAGATCACACAGAGAAGTAGTTGGACTTAAATCCCATGTTAATTTAAAAATTTCTTTATAGAGAACGTTACACAAATTTTCATTCACACAGTAAACACATTACTCTTCAATGAAGTGTGTTAAAACATTCTGTTAATTTTCTAACTATCCTTTAAGTTAACTATCGGTCATATTTGATAAGAAGGTTTTAAATAAAACGAGAAGAATTTTGATAAATACTATGCAATGAGAAATATATCCAATGTTGTTCATCGTCCTTGAAGCTTCTCGTAGTGCAGTCTTACTACCGAAACATAACTATTTACTCGTACGTCTCATCATGAGTTCGTATCAGTATTGCTTACGCCACTGAGTGTTGCATCACATAACACAACTAGTCGTATTTGTTTGCTGTATTACATCTAATCCAAAGAGTTTCTTTACAAATGCCTTTAGCTAGCATTGATCGCTCGAGAGTGAGTTAAATTAAGTACAACCGTTCATTGTATTACTTACCTAGACAAACACAAGACAGATTCTGATTTGTTGAAATGATATCGCCATTAATCAAATTAATTAAAACATTGCTTAAAGGTAATTCAAAGCATTATTTGTCAATGAATCCAAAACTCTCATGATTGGAATGGATTTAGATTGAACTATTCGAATGATTTATAAATGATGAGTAATAGATGTAATAAAGTAGGATAAAAATCTTTTAGGGATTTTGTTTTTTGAAGGAACCAACATTCTCAGGTCGAACTCATCCCATTGGATCCGATGGGAATTCGTCGGAAGTTCTCGGAATCCTTGGTACAGGATTCCGACAGGAAGTTATCGGACGTTGGAAAGTGTCGGATTTTTAGGGTTTCGACAGGATTTGGGTCCCTTCCGACACTTTCCGACATCCGACAACTTCCTGTCGGAATTCTGTACCAAGGATTCCAACAACTTCCGATGAATCCCTGTCGGATCCGATAAAATTCGATAATTTTCCTGGCAAGATCCGACGGAATCCGACTGTCGGATTGCTCGTCCTGGGTTACCAAAATGGTTTGTTATACATTCAGGAGAATGAAAAGTCTGAAGTATAACAGTCAGTTAAAATAAGGTTGAAGAGGTTTATCGATCGAACATTCAATAGGTCACACTTCAGTGATTAATAAGTGGTTGAAGTATGCTCATCTAATTAGAGAGAGAATAAAGAAAAAGAATTATTTACTATGATCTTTGCAAATACAAAGAAAATCGTACTTCTAGATTTGGCACTATTGAGAAGCTGTTTTACATGAAATTTTTATTTAAAACTTTCAGTAATTACAAAGCTTTCTTTTTCTAAGAAACAATTTTGGAAAGCCTGAGAATGTTGAGTTGTCAAATTGATTCGAATATGAATTCATAATGTGCGTTTCTTAATCGTTATTTTGTTATTTAGGAGCCGGAAAATCATCTCTTCTACAAGGTCTCTTTCGTCTTGTCGATCAATCATCGATTACCGGCAGTATACTCATCGATGACATTGATATTGCTTGTATTTCACTCGATCAACTTCGTTCTCATTTAAGTGTGATTCCACAAGCACCAGTACTCTTTTGTGGTACACTTCGATACAATATTGATCCGTTTGCACAATACTCTGATGAAGAATGTCTTACAGCACTTGAAGCTGTTCAACTCAAACAATTGGTATGCAATCATCCCGATAGACTTAGTCAACTAGTGGCTGAATCAGGCAGTAATTTAAGTGCAGGAGAACGCCAACTAATTTGTGTAGCACGAGCCATTCTCAAGAGAAGTCACATATTACTCATCGATGAAGCTACAGCTAATGTTGATCATGTGACTGATAGTATGATTCAAAAAGTTATTGCAGACAAGTTTCGTGATCGTACTATATTGACAATTGCACATCGATTGAATACAATAGCGAACAGTGATCGTATTCTCATGTTACAACAAGGAGAAGTTGCCTATTTCGATGTACCTAGTAATATTGATCTAATTTAGTACCGTTACGAAAGATCTTCTCGCTCGGATGACTGTGTCTTACAACGTATCAGTGCTGAAAAAAATGCTTTTTTTTTTCATCCGTTATCCTCATTTCTAGATCAACAATATCAGTGATAAGAGCGTATCGAGTTAAATCAGAGAACATTAATGTCAAATCTGTGAAATAGTGTTTTTAAGTAGAATAGTCTGAGAATTTTTAATAACTTCCGTTGAAAAGCTTTATTCCTATTTATTTTTAGCTCGAATATTGACAAGTAAACTTAAGAGAGTTACCAAAATGTGATTTCGAAGAATTCTGTAAAAATGAAATCGGATGTAGAGCTTTTCTTGTTATTTCAATATGCTCTTCTAATTAATATATGAATCCCGAATAAAATGGCTTTTTCTGTTTCAATTTCCAGTTGTTTTTACAGAAACTGCTGTTAAATGTCACTTTCTATGTTATTTTCCTTGTTTCGTTTGTCTTTCCTTGCATGAATAAGTCTCATTTTCTGTACTATCATACGATATGTAAGTCTTTTCAAACTTTATAATGAGTTTATTCATTCGCTTCTTATTGGAAGACTCGTCACCTTCGTCTACCAAGACAAGATGAGGAGTGTGTGCACTTCATTCTAATCTAGCTGTAATGCATATCAATACTCTTAATACATCTATGAGTAACAAACATGATCAACGATGAGAACCAAGTTAGTCCATTTTCTCATTGTCTACAATTAGAAAACAAAAAGTAAATTCGATTTCAGTTGTTTCATTAACTTTGAATAATTGATAATTTCTTAATTTGTCTTTTTTTCTGTTCACCAGTTTACAACACATCAGTCAATATTCTTAGTTTTATTCTTATAAGATTCTCTTTTTTCTCGTTGCATCATATAAAACTCATGTTGTTTTGAAATCTTATCGAAAATCTTTCTGTCAATTAAAAGAAAGATGAAAAGGGTGTGGGTGAGAATGTGGGTATGGGCGTAGGCTGTGGGATGTGCATGCAAATGAATAGAAGATCTCACTCATACTCACACCCACACCAATTCTTTTGGCATTTTCTAGCATGAGCAATCATTTAATGAGGAATCCATTAGAGCAGGAACCATCCTTGACTCGATTCCGATACAAAAGTTTCAAGTCCATGGTGGGAATTGATAAAGAAAATCTATTTATCTTTTGTTATTTTATGTTACCATCTGTTAATTTAAAAACAACTGCATGTCTAATCTAACATTATAAAAAGATATTCAGTATATAGGAGTATGTTGTACCATCATGTTTTCTGAATAGAATAGCTAAAATAAGATATAATATGATTAGAACTACTTTTAAACGACATAGATATTGTTATACATTGAATAGTTTCGTTCTATTCAGAATGATCGAAAATCTAATATTTTGTTGATAGATACATCGAATTGCTTAAACTTGAACAAACATACAAAAAGGTTTGTTTTAAACAATTGTGACCATCAATGTTGGACATATAGCTTTTGAACAAAATAATGTAAATATTTAAAATTTGTTAAGAATTACAGATCTTGAATAGACAAATCTAATGCATGTCGTATAAGTGAAATTTTATAGATTTTTCAAAGGACTTTAATTACTTTCTTGAATTTCGCTAACTGCTCATCAGACTTGTGAGTTGGCTTGAATTATTATTTATATAGACAGATGCAGAATATTAGGCTCTTTCTAATAGTGAATACTGCAGATCGATGACTGTTTTCATTGGAAAGTTATTTGAAAAACAATCATCTTTCTTTTATTTTGAATCAAATAATAAATATTGATATTTCAATAAAATAATAACAATTAATAATATTTATTACAAACTTTGGCATTTATATCTTAAATTGTCAATTTTGAACATATAAGCTAAATCAACACGACCAATATGTATCAATGCTGAAATAATATTGTCTATAGTTTGATTTATCTTAAATGCATTTTGTCGTTTTAACCATTTTAATAATGTTTCATTTTCAAGTTTTGTCTGTTCTAATTTCGTGTTATGGTCTCTCAATAAATTCATTTTGGAATTTTCATATAAAAATGTATTTGATTGAGAATACATATGTCGTTGCTGTTTTTGTGATGTTAGAGAAATTACAAGTGGATTCATCAAAGATGGATGTATATTGAGAGCTTCGGCAAGCTCACGTTTATCCTCCGTTAATGCTTCCATGATTCCCTATAAGTTAGGAAGACAAAAACAAAATGGAAAGAGTAAAAATCTACATGAACAATTGGTAATTGTACTTGCCGTAAAAAAATTCGGCACAATAACTGGTATCATATTTGACTGTGTAGGTGGTAACTGAAAAGCAGCTTTAGGCAGACGAATACGAATTGCACACACAATATTTCTTTCATCAAGATTATGAGTTGTCAATCGTTCAAAACCGGATCGACCAACACCACCACCACCACCACCAGTATTACTTATGGTTTCAGGTCCACTGACAGACATTCGTGGAGATGAATTATTTGGTAAACCATCAAAGATTTCAAAATCTTTTGAACCAGACGATGTTCTCGAGGAAACAGCAGTCGCTGTCTAAATATTATTATGAGAATTCAAATAAAAAGAAAACAATTCACGAGGAAACCTTCTAAGATGTCTCCTTCCGATTTGCATGATTTTTTGCCTTTCGAAAATCAGGAATCCTCTAGCCAAGAAAAATTGATAGCTTAGTCATATCTCAATAGGAATCGAAATCTTTTTAGGGTTTTCAATAGAGTATTATGTAGTATCTATAGATAAAAAAATCATTGAAATACTTTTCTTCAAGATTCAGAAATACAAATTCAATATTTATGAAAAAAAATCTATGATTAAATTCAACTTCTAAATTTATCATTTTAAAATTTTCCAATGAAATACAAACTATTTAAATATTACTTCAATTTTATTTTAATTTCACTTACATGTGTACTACTCGTCGATCCAATAGTGATACTATGTGCATTTATTTCATAGATATTAAGTGTTCCAATAAAATCATCATCAGTCTTTTGACGATAAATATCAATTGGATAAATATCAAATTCAATAACAACAGGATATCGTGCATGTAATCGAAAACTTAAATTAACTAGAAAGAAATTGTTGTATTTTACTTTTGATAACTATTAACGGAATGATGCAAATTAAATGAGACAATATAATTTTCTTGTTAGAGTTATTCTATAGAGAATTTATGGCTCTTTAAAATATGAACACTTGCTCAGTTGTCTTACTACGATTTTCTGCAAAATATCTATCGGTTTCTGTAAGTTTTTGTTCATGATGATTAAGTTCAAAAAGCAACGCAGTTAGCATCGATGAGTAGAGAATTTCATAATCTCCATTTTCACAACATTTTTCAAGGTTCCTGATGCTATCGTTCATGAGAAAAAGCTAGGAATCAAAAATCTACTGATATTTTACTATAACACATATCGAAAAAACATGTTTTCCTAAACGATACTTACGAGGGAACCGATACAACTGATAAATCGCTTTTGAGTTCAGACTCTGTGCATAAGATAGACCCTCGTGAGGTATGAGAAACCCTGAAATGACAAGTGCCCATAGGCCTTCTGTCCAGAGTTCTAGGCATTTTATTGGAATTTTAGCCTATGACACGGTATATACCAATAAATCGAATGACGGTATTTCGAGCTGAGATTTTGCTCACAGAGGGGCCTATTTGTGTGTAGAATGTCCTGAAAATTTCAGTTCAAAAGAGTGTTTCCTTCCCAAGATATTAAAGTTCCAAAAAGTAGGAAATTCTAGCGACTTTGTGGGATATGCGCGATTTTTGAGGCTGTAATATCTCGGGAGAAAAATGTTCTTTTGAGCTGAAATTTTTAGGATATACTACTAACAAATAGACCCCTCTGTGAGCAAAATCTCAGCTCGAAATACCGTCATTCGATTTATTGGTATATACCGTGTCATAGGCTAAAATTCCAATAAAATGCCTAGAACTCTGGACAGAAGGCCTATGGGCACTTGTCATTTCAGGGTTTCTCATACCTCACGAGGGTCTATCTTATGCACAGAGTCTGAACTCAAAAGCGATTTATCAGTTGCATCGGTCCCCTCGTTAGTGTATGAAAAATTCATTCTCGTACTGTCGAATGTGAAATTTAATTGTGAATAAAATGTTATAACTGTTAAGTTGAAGAATACAAACGATTAAGTTCTATCGAAATAATTTCCAATTGTTCAAGTGCTACATGTGCATGAAAAAAAAAACCTTCGACTATGGCGTTTTAAATTTTTCTTCAACAGAAAAAAATTTACTTGATCATTATTTTTCCAGAACAAAAAAAAGAAATTCTCTATCGAATGACTTTCTGAAAATGTATCTGAATGCCGAAAAAAAAAAAGGAAATAATATTGCCCCGTTTGATCTGCATCTACCAATTTTATTAATCATTCGAGTTTTTACAAAACACTTTTACCTTTTTCATGTACATCAATATTACCCATGGGTATAATTCTTACCTAAAATTTAAAACATTCATACGCAAACAATAGCCTTTTTTAAGTTGTTTTTATCTTACATAAGTTCCTTCGGATAGACAAAATTGAACATATTTTGTAATACTAGGCAATGAAGATCTAATTGATAATGTATGATGTGATTGATATTGATTTATTTTTGATAATTGTGTTTTAATATTATTATCAGAGATAAATTGTTCATCAAATATATATTCTGTATAATTTCGTTTGTAAAGAGTTTCTTCGGCTAATCGTTGTGCTTGTACTGGTACAATCATAAGAGCATAATGACCAAATGAATTAACATATGATGGATCTCGTGCTAAAACACAAGAAAATAATTTAGCTGATGTCAATGACCAAAGATTTTCTGCTAATTTATCAAATTTTCCTTCATTATTCGATTCTGGCCAACAACGAATAAGAATAATTCGATCAAGTAATGTTGTCTATAAGAAAATATTTTATTTCGAAAAAAAAAACAAACAATCGAAATATTTCTTACTAAAGTAATTATATAAATATCTTTATCAATTGTTCGTGTAATCGTAGCAAAATTATTACAATTTTTCCATTTTCGATTTTTATAACCAAGTAATATAATTGAAGCATTTTCATTTTGAAATCCATCTAATTTCCAATTGAATAGTGATTTTTTTGATGATATCAATTGTGAATTATCATCACGATTAATATTAAATCTTGGTTTAATAAGATGATCTTGATTATCTGTTTTAACTTGTTCAATAACAGCTGCTATACTTGGTAAATGTGACATAATTGTTGGTGATGCTAACTTATTACTTGATGTTGGAGTAGTAGCTAATGAACCACCAGCTTCATCATATTTTTCTTGTTCGAATTTTTTACGTTGTATAAAAATTTTTTCTATAAGAATAAATTCAAAAAAATTTTCAAAAACAAAAACAAAAAATTTCAAATAATTCAATACGTTGAGCTTTTCGTCGTCGTTTTTGTAGATCATCATCAATTTCATTGAATAAATTAAAATATTGAGTTAATGGAATAGTTATGGATATAATTCCTTCTATTTTTATTTCTTTATACCATTCAAATTCAATTAAATCCGAAGAAGCTAATAATTGATCTTCACTTTTTAGAACTTTCAAATAAAACAATATATATATAGAGAGAGAGAGATCAGAATAAGAAAGTAGAAAACAAAATATTTTCATACCAGTCATACATCGAATTAATTCATTATTAAACGGTATAATACGAACTCGTGGTGGACGAATAAAATAATTTTTAGGTGTTTCAATTCGAAATATTGATGAATGTTCACTTGTATATACAGAACATGAATCTATTTTATAGACATTTATACTATGTAAAATACAACGCATTTAATCCTGAAAAACATTTGTGAATGTGGCAGGATTTACAATATCGTTTTTCTTTCCTTGCTATGTTAATATTGAGCCTTTTCTAATCATTCGGCTTATCCAAACCTAACGTTGTGACACAACTTTTTGTCGATCAATTTTGAGGCACTTAACATGTTCAGATACACTTGATTTTCATAAATATTGGTCATTGCTGCATATATAATCGTTCTACGCAAGAATCACATTGCTACATAAAAATGTGCAGTCATTAACTGTACAGTAAGTTGAAGAATGCACAGATTTTCCTTAGGGATGAAAATCAAAACTAAATAGGACAGTTTGTAGGAAATGAAATTCTGCATCGAATGGTCTTGAAACGTTTGAAATCTGTTTTTCGATGCCAAAACTCAATTTTTTTAAAGAAAAAATGTCAAATTCGTAATCAGCGTCACAAGCTGCATTTTAATAAAGTATTCAGATCTACCCATATAGTACCTTTCTTGAATAAATATTACAGGAAAAAGAAAATTCAAGGATGAGTCAACATAAAACGATTCAATCGTACTATTGATTTTATTGTATTTTATTCGTTGTCGAACATAAAAAAATAAGGAATAAAAGAAATTTTTCTCATTTTTAATATGAGTGACCTTGTGTCCAAGACTCACGATCTTCTATCATGTCTCTAAAAGGTCAAATTTTTTAATGATCTCGCCGATAATTCTTAATTTCAATTTAGTTTCACCCAAATACATCCTTTATAAACAAGTTTACTTCACTTATCCCATGATCGCGTACAATCGGAAGAAAACAGATAATATCCTGTCAAAAAAAAGGCGATAAACTGCGGGTATTTGTCAAAACCAGCAGTTTTTATCACATGGGAAACTACACAAGAACGACAGCTAAAATTGTCAAAATTGATGGTTTATCGAAGTTCATCGGCTAACCGGTTAACCACAGTTAATTACAGCAATTGGAGTCAGTAAAACCGTAGTAAACCGTCGATTTTTATTACATGGAACGCTACAACAATTAGATGATGTTCTACTTTTGACACTATTGCCTTTGAGGGAACATCTCTTAACTCTGTCATTTGCAACTAAAATGATCCAAACTGTAGAAAGAGACTTATATAAAATACTACCTCACTAACCATAAATCTGTTTTTTTTCCTTTTTCCCTATTGCAAAGTAATAAGAACTAAACAACTATATTTAGGCATTGTATTAAATGTTTCTTTTAACGCATCAATCAATATTCTTCTTATTAATGACGATAGTCTGTCAAATCAACTTTCATTTAGATTAAGTTTATTACTTATACGTATTGATTTATAGTCTCTGTATTTGTTTTCTTTCCCCTTTGTTATTAAGTTTGTTCTGCCTGATTTACTAAATCTTAAAAATAAAGAAGCGAATAAATCCGTAAGCTCTTTTTTTTTTTTATAACAAAATAAGTTTGTCAATTGAAATTGTTTAATATTGACTAATCGATTTTTAGAGAAAATTGGATGTTGATAATACAATAGAAATGCTTACTATCATGTACAACTTGTAAAATTTCGAATGGATAGAAAAGAACAGCTTCTACAGAAATGGGACTTAATGTTTGTGTAATACGAAAAACAGCATAAGAAACATCATTATATGTTTCTATAATTGCTGGAATATAAATTAATGGATCCATGATACGTTCTAAAATAGATCAATATTATTTAGAGAGATTATATTTTTGACAAAACAAAAATTTCTATTACTGCATCGAATATAAATTTGTTGTTGTGATTGTTCTGATCGAGGTGATGAATTTGTTGATTTTAGTTTATAAGGTATAGAAAAACAAGGTAATGCTATTGTTAATTGATCAATAGAAGTAATTGCTCGTTTAAATTCAATATCAAATATATGTGAATATTTTTCACTTGCATTATAATTAATTTGTGATAGTAAATGTTTTGAATTTTCTGTACATATAATATGTATATCATTTTGTATTAATTGTCCACGAATACAACGAATATAAACATCTTGTTTAATTGTTGTTGTTGTTATTTCATAAAGAAATATTTCATATAGAGGATTTTTATTAAATATATTTGATGGTAAACGTAATGATTGTTCGATTTCATTAAAACATTCATTTTTAGATAAAACTGATTTTATTAAAACATCATTTAATGTTGCTATTTTAAGTCGAAATTTAGTTGCTTGTTTAAATAAATTCATTATTAAACGTGAAAATTCTAATCGATGTTTATAATTATCTATTAGATTTTCATCGAATATTGATAATTGTTGATCAATATTTGTTGTGATTAAATTTGAATCTGGTGCATACAATATTAACATTTCAAATTCATGATAAGTAAAAATATTTGTATTTTGACGAATATTCATTGCCAAAATGATGAGAGATCGACAAGTATTACAAAATAGACTTAATTTTTCACCAATACTTTTTATAGCAATCAATTGACTAAAAGAGATGAATGATAGAATGTTAAAAATGATACGCAAAAAAATCTTCTAGGATTAACTATGAATATTCGATAAAGAGTAAAAAATGATTTACTTTTGAAAATGTATTGTTATTTGTTGAGTTCGTTCACATTCTAATTCTAAATATTTTAATTTTTTATTTAAATTTTTAATTATTAAATCAAATTCATTGATATCAAAAGATTTTTTATTTATTATAAGATCTTCAATGAAAAAATTTTGTTGATCAATAAGAATTTTTTCTTGATTTATATCACTATGAAATGTATATTCTTGTACTTGATGATTACTCTCAATTTGTTTTATTTCAATATCATTATTAGATATATTTTTTATTATATTAGTATCTATATCTATTGATTGATCATTCTGAATTATATTATTTGAGTGAAATGTTTCAATATGTGTTGCTGATGAAAATGATTGTACAACATCATCATTAACAAGAATATTAGATTTAGTAAAATCATGAAATTGGTTTGATTCATTGTCCATGATCTTGAATTCTTTGTGTTTTAATCAATTCACTGGTGTATGAAATAAGTAAAAGAATTTAATAGGCGCTTTTTTTTTTTTTATTATTTAAGTCACATCCGGCTTTTTCATACTTATTTCTTCCGTTATAGAATTGAATTTTGAATAGAACAAAACTAAGAACTTCTATTTATATGTCATATAATTATAAAAGAATTTTTCTATTGAATAGAAATCAACAAAGAAAAAAAAAACCTAATTGAATGTTCTCACTTTAATCGTAAAGAGAATGTCAATGATCATGATGTTAGAATTGAGAAGATAAGCAGACGATTTTTTTTTTTTCGTATTTGTAATATATGATCTTTGTTATTTTTCTTTTCAAAAGAAAAAATGTTATTAGGTATTTTGATTACGATAAGATATTTGATATGGCACGAAAGAAATATAAGAAAAAAAAAAAAAAAAAAGAAAGAATCTTTATTTTATGTGAGTATGATTCTGATTTAAAAAAATAATAAATAAACGCTTTATTTTCATTGATACTATTTATACTGGAATATTGTTAGGATGTTTTAATTGTTTATTGACGGAACCATTAGCTGATGTATTATATCCATGATAACGTCTAGCTTTTCGTACCATATATATTATTATAAATGCCACTGCTAAACTTAACATACCGACTACAACTATAATAGTAAAGATTTTAAGAAAAAATCGATCTCGACCTTGAATAGACATAGAAACAAGTATATTATATTATTATAAATGAATATATTTCAAAATTAATTTCTTACTTGTTTGAGCAAGATATGCAGCCATTTGTTTGAAATCTATTGTAGTAGTCAATAAAGATTGTTCATTACTATCATATACCGATGTAGAAAATGGTTCCGTCGAATGTGTCACTGATATTTCATTTTTAGTTGTAGCTGTTTCAGTTATAACATGTTTAGTTGATGTTGTTGTACTAGATGATGATGATAATTTAGTTATTACAGGTGTTGTATGATGAAATTTTTCCTCTCCCGATTCATCTTCAACATCGTCGTAAATGTTATGACCATAGTCATCACTCTCATGATGTTTAGCTACATTCCATGCATTTGTTGTTGTTGTTGTTGGTCCTGTAGTTTCCAATTTTACTGTATGATCTTCATGATCTTCTATCGCTTCATCTAATTCTAAAGATTCTGTAGTGGTACTCGATATAGGCATTCTAGTCGTACTTTCAGGTTCGTCTTCATCAATATCATTATCAGAATCATAATCAGTTTTAGCAGGTAAGAATAGACCTAAGTTAATAGAAAAATAGTAAGAAATGACATATATAAATTCAACCTCACTGAGCAATACAAGTACGGATAGATACATAAACCATGAGAAATGCATTATTGTAAATCACTTTGTTCTTACAAAGTAAATCATGGATATATATACTCTACTGATAAGATGTGATTATTCATCTTTTTTCTTCTCATCTTTCTGATCTTTGATGTATAGATTACAATAACATCAATAGAATAAAAAAAAAAAAGAAGAGATATTTGTCGATTTGTAATACATGGTACAAAGTCAATCAAATTTCTATAGGGAAGATATACATAAACCTTAAGCAAGATGCCATCTTAAAACAAAAAAAAAAGATAGGAAAGTATTACGATAATGACGTCATAAAATGAATAGGAAGAAGTAGAAATTTTATTCATTGTATTATTAAGTATCATCTATCAAATTAAATGAGTCAATGAGTAAAAATAAAAAAAAGAATTAGATATGACATAGGGTACTTGAAAATATTCTAAATTATTGTTCACTTCAATAAAATAAAAGTAATTACTTAACTAAATAGTTTTACTTGTCGAACAATATTAAGAAAAAATTTACAATAATAAGAAAAATATTGATATTTCCCTTTTTTTTCTTTTATTCAAAGAAATAATTTCAAGTAAAAATTTGTAAAAAAAGAAAAACATTATTGTTATTCTATACAAATGATATTATTATTGTTTTTAAATAGAAATAATTTCCTTTCTTGTACTGATACTTTATTTAATATTTCCCGTGAAATAAAAGAACACTTGAGATACACACATGTTCAACAATTATTTACATGTCATAATGTGACATCTTTTTTTTTTTTATTTCAATGTAACATCAATAATTAGTTTTTTATTATTAGTATATCTTCCTAGACTACTTATTTCAGCATAATGTTACATTCATAATATATAAATAAAATGACATCGACATTACCAAGAAATGGCAAAAATTCTCTAACATTTGAAAGTGTTGTTTGTTCACAATTAGAATTACAACGACGTGCTGCATCATTTTCTCATCGTCGAAGTACAACCTGTCGACAATCATCACAATGTTCATTATCATCATCATCATCTAATCGTTTGTCAACATCATCAAATCGAATTATGTTATTAAAACCGATTTCATCCCAATCATCAACGCGATATTCAAGTAATCGAACATCAACATCGATACCATTAGATATTACAAATCAATTTGTAAAAACAAGACATTCTATTTGTAGTAAACGTAGTCGAGCATCATCAGCACTTTCTATTAGTGGTACTCGAATGGAAAATATAACAGATCGACAATCTCTTGGTTCAATATTTTATTGGGATACATCATTAAGAAATGGAACAAGTAAAAAAGTATGTGACAAAAAATATTTATCTAAATAAATTCATAATTTTTTTTTTCTTTAGGACGAATCACGATGGAGTATTGATTTTCCTAAAGAAACACCATTTTATTGGAGTTTAAGATCACGTTTAATTGAAGAATATACTGAATCAGAATCTTTACTTGAATTTGCTAAAAAAACTGTTCTTGTACTTATGAAAACAAGTAATTCAAATTAAATTTTAAATTATCAATAGATACTTTTTTTTTGTTTTTGTTTTTCTAATATACATATAGAAGAAGCAACAATTTTTCTTTGTCTTATTCTTGTTCTTCCAATTATAATGATGGGAATTGGTATGTTCGAAAATTTTTTTTTTTTGTATTATTAATTGATCAACCATTTTCATATAGGTGTTAATCATTTAAGTGATTGTCCACGTCAAACAAATTTACCTATTTATTTATTTGTAGCTGGTATTGTATTAACTATAAAACTTCTTCAAAATATTTGGCATAAATATCGTTTACAACAAAAACGTCTAACTGATGAAGAATCATCATCAAATCATAATGATGGTCATGCATTTATTGATGGTTTAATGACATCATTTCTTATTATTTGGTTTTTTTTCGGTCAATATTGGTTTGTAACTATAGGTTATCCACCACATTTTGAACAACCATTAGAAGATCCAGATAT